GGTGTGGTGGCTCATGCTTGTAATCCTAGCACTCTGGGAGGCTGAGGCAGAAGGATCACTTGAGGTCAGGAGTTCGAGACCAGTTTGAGCAAGAGCAAGACCCCCGTCTCTACAAAAAAATAAACTAAAAAATAAAAATAAAGAAAAAAGTTAACGTTATAAAAGATTATAAAGGCAGAGAGACTGCTCCAGATTAATGGAGACTAAAGAGATATGGATATTAAATGTACTGCATGATACTGAAGAGGGTCATAGACTAGAAAAAAAATTTATATAAATGACATTATTAGGAGAATTGGTGAAATTCGAATAAGATCTTTATATTAAATATAATAGTGAATCAATGCTACATTTTCTGATTTTGATAATTTTCTGATTTCTGATTTTCAGGTTATGTAAGCCAATATCCTTGTTTTTAGGAAATACTGAATTATTTCTGGATAAAGGGGCATGATATCTGCAAATTACTTTCAAATAGTTCAGGAAAAATATGTATGTATTATATAAGCAGAGACAAATATAAATGTGATAAAATGTTATTAATTGGTTAATCTGGGTGAAAAAGCATACAGGAATTTTTTTATTTGATTCTAGGAATTTATCAATAAATTTGAAATCATTAAAAACAGAATTTTAAGAATTAAATCATTCAATCTAATGCCATCTCCGTCATCTACCACAGATGTGACCTTGTATAAGCTATAAAACCTTTCAGAACTTCTAGAAAATAGCTATTAATATTCTCACGGGATCATTGTTCCTTCTAAATAAGAGCTTTGTGCAAATGTAGAGGGGGAAGATGGTCTGGGGTACCTCCCAAGGTCCCCAAATCCCAAAATGCAAAGGTAGGGGTAGAGGAAAAACTTCGGTAGTTGGCAGAGCCTAGAAGAGGTTAAAGGCGTCAAATGGGACTCTCCACACCTGCGATGCCTCCAGCCTCAATCAGAGCCCGCGTATTTAGGAAGCGCCACCTAGGCCTAATCCTTAGTCTCCCGGCGGTCCCACGCAGCGCCAGTCCCTCTCTCCTCTCGCTAAAGGTGGACCTCAAACTCCAACATCTCGACTTCTGGGACAGCCTCCATGGCCAGGTCCCGGGATTGCTGGACTGGGACATGGGGAACGATTCGTTTCTGGCCTTCACCACAGAGCACCTTCCCTCAGCCGAGCAGAACTGTGAGTGCCCCGTGGGCGCGGTGGGGGATGGGCGTGTCGGCGGCCGGGCTGGGGCTCGCGGGAGCCCGGGCGGGGGGTGCCCCCAGCCTTCGCCCCACTGCGGGGTGGGGAGCTTCGGGGCCCCCAGCCCCCTGTGCTAGGTTCCCGGAGCCTCCCTCCCCCGACCCACTCGCAGACTCCACTCGGGATGGGGGTTGGCTCCTGCCTCGACTGGAAGCCCCCAGACTGCAGCGGTCTTACCTAAAAACGCTGGTTTTCAACTCAACCCCGGGAGCCGCTCAGCTCCCAGAACCTTCTAGACCTCTTCCGGACCTTTTTTCCATGGCGCTTATCGCCATTTGCCACACTATGTATTTCACTTATTTTTGTCTGTCTCTTTAAAAAAATGTTAAATTATCAGTTTGGTTCATGGCTGTATCGTCACGTCTAATACGTTGCCTGACACACAGACGTGCTGGATATTTACCTAATGGATAACTGACCACCGTGGTCTTTTAAGTTTTATTTTTTCTCTTGCACTTCAGGTGTAGCGAGCTGAGGCGATCACCCCTACATTCACGGTACTCTTGCCATCGCTCTGGCAAGGCCCTTGGATTAACTCTAGTCATTGTCCCCCTTCAATGTCCACCGCCTTACCTCCATCACCTCCCCCACTCCTGCGTACCAACCCTAATCCCTTTAATGTCTATTTTCCCCACTCATTTTTTTTTGTTTTTGAGACAGAGTCTCTGTCACCTGGGCTAGAGTGCTGTGGTGTCAGCCCAGCTCTGTATATAAGTTCCTGTGTTAACTTGGATAGGCACACCGACGAGCGGATGGCAAGATGTGGTAAATCCGAGTCTTGCCTGACACTTCATAGTGGCTGCACCAGTTGATACTCAGAACTGCAGTATCAGAAGGGATTCTATTTCCTTGCATCTTTCTCAACATTCGGTATTATCTGTCTTTATAATTCTTATCAATTTGATTGGTTTAAAGTGTTATCTCATTTTATGTATTTTTCTTATTGCTAATAAGGCCGAGAGTCTTGTTAGCCGTTCAGGTATCCCCTCCTTGTGGTGCTGATTCATATGTTTTGCCCATTTGTAAGTTTGTGTTGGCCTTTTACTCATGATTTATGGGAAGTTTCTCTATATTAGAAAACTGAGAACTTTGCATTAATTTTTTTCTGGCTTATTTTTATTTTTTGCTGATGGTGATT